TCTGTACACTTACAAAGTTCTCAATGCTTCGTTTTGCATGTGGGACCCTCATTATGTTACTGTGTTCGTGTGGGGCTATTTTGAGGCTTGTTAGTGGTTATTAACTAGCGATTTCTTTTTACTTATTATATGCCCCCATTACTAGCGTTATACGCTAAACAGTTTTTAGAGATAAAACTCTTTACATTCGATTATCATGAAAACAAATCTCAGAGAACGGTTGACTAGGTACCAATGTTTTATTAGACCAAAGGTTCATTTTGCGCCGGAGTTCTCCTTTAAGATATGCCAGTGCAAGTTGCTTTCAGGTTAAACAGCTCAAACATGCATTTTAGTCTGGGGCGAGCTTAAGCCTCGTCTGTGAAACCGGGGGATAAATTCCAAACTGCAAGATATAAACTCACAATTGTGATTTATAAAGTCTGAACTGATATATATATATATATATATATATATATATATATATATATATATATATATATATATATATACACACACACACACACACACTTGCAATTGCGAGAAAATATCAGAACTTGAAGGCATACACTATTTAAATGTACATTCATACATCTTAAATATTTATATGTTCTTTTTCTGTTAAGATAACTGAGCCTTTAAATCTCATAGGCGTTCATTTTTAAGGCATAAACAGTCCTCACTTTAGATGCGCTCACAAAAATAGTTAATAAGCAGTTTATAAATACAGCTATAAATGCTTTATTCTTAATTTATAAGCATATCTATAATGTGTTTAGTATTTTCATACTTTATTAATGATCATTTATCATTTCTAAATGAAGTATTGCATTACAAACCAGTTATTTAGGAGTTGTCAGTGGTTCATAAGATACACTTTCTAAGTGAAGTAAATGATTAATAAACTTTTTACATTCATACATTTTATTATTCAGACATATTGTAATAGTTACTTAGTGTGTTAATAAATGCTTTTAACATGTATTACTGTAATTCATGGTTAATTCAGGTAGTTATAAAGCATTTAGTAGTGTGGTCAGTTAATGTCTAATGCTTTATAAATGTTTTATATTAACTGTTTACTAATGCTTAACTAATTATTTATAGTGTGCAGTTATTATAAAGTGTTACCGCTATCTATAAGTCACCAATAAGTAACCAGGCCTATAACTCGCAATTGCGAGTTTATATCTAACAGTTTTGAGGAAAAAAGTCAGAATTGCAAAATGTGAACTCACGATTTTATCAAATTTGAATTGTGAGATAAAAAAAATAAATAAAAAAAATCCCAGTTACCCTCTTTTTTATGTGTTTGTGTAAGGATGAAATTAAACAAAAGACTTTTGCTTTCCTGTCCCAACCCCCTCTAAGGGCCATTTAAAATAAAAGCAAAGAGGTGCTGATAGTGATCTTGGCCTGTGGGCCAGGTGTGTGTACATCGGTGGTCTGCTAACTGTCACACCTTTAGTATGGCAGGGGAAGCTGTGATCTGCTGATTGATCAGTTTGAATGTCTCACATTATGGTTTCAGTCACATGGTCAAGGAAGGAATAAAAGAAGATTGGAACTGTTGCTCTGGCGCTTCTTTTCTCTGGGCTTTTCTATCTTTTCTTTGTCTCTTCTTTTGGGGGGTGTTTGCTCTTCTTCTCTACCTGAGCTCTGCCTTTCTCTTTCTCTCTACACTTTCAATCTTTCAGATAACATTTTACATACGTGGGTACAATTAATGGCATAAGATTTTATCATCTCATACATCTATTGTGTAACTATTTCAAGTGTAACCATAACCAGATTTTGTCATTAAATCCTTTCAATCACAAACGATGCACTAACTAGCTTTGATTCAGTATTAATTAAGTTCCATTAAGTTGATCCAGTATTAATTAAGTGTAACTTTCCCACATATTTTTGCTATTCCAAATGCACTTATTTCCGTTGTTGGTATATAAGTAGCAATGGGTGGTAATAGACAAGAAATTTACAGTTTTCCACAATCATACTGATAACGTTTCTTTAGTCGTTCGGCAATCCTGCAGCCTGAACTAATGTAGTGAAACAACCCTTACGGCGGAGCTTCCATACTACTCATCACTCTACATTCATTCTCACAGCTAAATATTTATAGGGAACACAAAATCCCCTAGCATTTTCATCAAAAGGCAACCGTGTGCACAGAACACAAGAGGGCAGTCTAAGCACGGCGTGCCGCTTTGTAAAAGGTCTGACTGCAACTGTTTGGATACCAACATTCTTCAAAATATCTATTTTTATGTCCAACAGAGGAAAGAAACTCATACAGGTTCATAACAACTTGAGGGTGAGTGAGTAATGACAGAATTTTCATTTTTGGGTGAACTATCCCTTTAATGAACTACGCAATATTAACATTCTAGTAACTACTATTGAATAACAAGAAACTCTGATTAACGAATAAGTAAGAAATGGAGCTAGTTGAATGCGGTAGTTCACTATTAGCTAATCAATAACTACTATTTTTTTTCATACCTCCCAGAGGACTACTAAGAACTACTATACAGGTTCAGAATTAATGTGAATATGGCATAATGTATAATTAATTCTAAAGTGAAGATCATGGTAACCCACTAATGACTCAAGTATTAGCATATCAAATCTTTCAGAATTAAGTACAAATTATTTGGAACAGTATTCTAAAGTGAAAAGCATGATAAATCCCTAAAAATGAGTTAAGTCATTGCAAACATTTGAGATTTTTGTAAGGTCCTTATACAATAATCCTTATTGTCGAGCCTTGCATAGATGGACATTGGGTGAAAATGTGGAGTGTTAAAATAAAGGCGCGTTGCATCGATGCATTGTATCATTAGCCATTTGATCGATGTATCAACCCATTCATATCGATGTATTGTTACACCCTTAACCCTCTGGGGTTCTTCGGGTCAAAAATGACCCGAAGCGTTTAAATAAATTTTTTTTTTAAATCGTAGCTTCATCGGAATGGTCCAAAACTTGGTGACTTTTTGGTACTTGGTATATGAACACCCAAAAAAATTGGGGAAAGGATTTTAAAAGTCTAAGTGGTCGTAAAAAAAATAGTCACACTCAGGGTCTTCGGGTCAAAAATGACCCCCATAGGAAATGAATGGGAAATTGGCAAAAATGTGAAAATACAGAGTTTTTGTGTGCATACAATCTACAAAACAGCCACGATGCAGAAAAAAAGCACACAACAGTGAAGGGGTGAATCTCTTAAAACAATGGGTGACAAAATTTTTTCCATTTGTTCTCTTTATAATGCAATGTTCAGGTTTGACTGTATTATAAAGTAAAACTGCCACTTAAAATTACCATTTAAACCAACCAAAAAAATAATGTTTTTTTTTTAATTAAAAAAAATGACAAATATAGTCTTTGAGAATCTGTTATTATATATTCAAATCAAAAACCTGAAAAAATTAAACAATATGTGAAAAAATCACTAGAGTGTTTCTACCATAGGTTTCTACAGAGAGCTGTAAATCCACTAGTGGTAAAAATGTGCTATTGCGTGATAAAAATGCTCAGTGTGTCCACCAGATGGCTCCGATCTCATTTCAAAAATTGCTTTCATGAGGTCTAGACTTGACTCTAAAATGAAATACAGCTTTAATAATTTTTTTTAATTATATATATATATATATATAAATTTTCTATTATATTCAATGGAAAAAAATGGGTCTTAATTATTGCATAAATATTATTATTGCATAAATAAATTATTGCATAAATAAAAACACCAAAAAAGAAAAGAAAAAATATTATTGAACAAAAATATATTTCATTGATTTTACTCAAATAAAATGTATCTTAATGCCGCCCTCCGGGTCATTTTTGACCCGAAGGTCCTGAGTGTGAGTCTAAAATGAGGAACCCCAGAGGGTTAATAAATAACCAAAAACAAATACACAAATACACAAGTAAAAAAAGAAAACAAAATATGAGTTGAGATTTTTTACAGTGCATATATTTGAACATGTTTAATTGTAGTTCGTTACAAAGAGCCACAGTTAATTTGCACAGAGACATTGATTAATGAAAGGGGGACATAAATAAACCTAAATTACACCAAATTTGATTCTGTTTTCTGTTAAAGAACTAGTGATTAACACCGTGTCTACACCGGACACAACCGGTTTAGGATATAGCTCCACCGATTAGGTCCAGAAAGCTGGACCTCAATGGATTTGCAATGGTCCCTTCGTCGTGTCCATTGTAGACACAGTGTAATGTCTACATTTACTCTACGTTTCAAAAGTTTAGGGTCAGCAATGTATTTTTTACAGAAATATATGAACACTTTTATTCAGTAAAAATGTATTAAAGGTAGTTTTCAGAGAGGCTAGCAATAGCTAACTAGCTTTGAAAGCATAAGATCCCACCATCCCACCAGACCCTCAGAGCGTCTACAAAGCCACACCTCCTCCAAAACATGAACGCGTACAGCAGGGAGCAAAGTGTCACGAGAGACGGCGTTAAATGACCTCATGTCTCAAAGCACATTACACTACAATAATAAACATAAACAACTTAAACAGCACTGATAGTGTTGCCATTGAAAAGCATAAATTAGAGTCACGACCCACTCCGAGTATAACGTCACGGGTTTCCATCTCTTCCAAATTACAGTAGTTATGGCGTGAACGCAGCATGAGCTCATTGTTTTGGTTCAGGAGGAACTGTAAAAGGCGGCTGCTGTTTCTGTTGCGGTGCTCTGTGACTGACGTCTGTCTAATTCTGCATGAAACGCTCTGATGACGTGTGATGTCTGTACGAACAAGGTGCGCGGAGGTATGGAAATACAGTAGATTGACAGGCAGATAGGACATCGGACCGAATGCAATGATTGGATGATCCTTTTATGGTCCTAAGCCTTCCACAGACAACATACATATAAATGGATTTAGACCACTTAATTAACTTAGTGAATGCTAGGATGTGAAGAGACTTTCAACCGGCATAACAAAAAAAAAGTTTCTGGAACTAATCGCCTACCCTTCCTTTAAATTGATCAAAAGTGACAGTAAAGACATTTAGAATTTTATTTCTATTCATCAAAAAATCATGAAAAACATGTATCACGCTTTCCACAAAAACATTAAGCAGCACAACTGTTTTCAACATTGGCAATAATAAGAAATGTTTCTTCAAATCAGCATATTGGAATGATTTCTGAAGGATCATGAGACACTGAAGACTGGAGTAATGGCTGCTGATAATTCAGCTGTGCCATTACAGAAAAACGTTTTTAAAATATGACGACATGTTTAAATAGAAAGCAGTTCTTTTAAATTCTAACAACATTTCACAATTGATCAAATAAAGGCAGCCATGGTTAACATATGAAACTTCTTTCAAAAACATTACAAAAATCTTTCCAACCCCAAACTTTTGAACAGTAAAGTCGATACATATATGGATATGCACATGAACGCTCAGCACTCTCTCATCTTGGCAATCTGAAGCAGAGCCACTCTGGCCTCTTCGTCCATGAAACCCTGCAAAAGAAGACCACAGCTTCTAGAACACAAACACTGCTATTTTCATAGGTTTACTTTGAAAATAAGAAAATGTACATCATAAAATAATAAAATGTTACCTGTGCTGCACTGAGCAACCGTGTTCGGTATATTGAAAGCACATGTTTGTAATGCTTTTCCGAATTCTGGCAATAAAAGTAAGAGAACAAGTTCATAATGCATTGGTTAGCACACCAGTTACAAAAGAAAAATGATTCATGCTTAAACCCCAATGCTTTTACTGTAATCCAGCAACTTTGACATGTATTGTACATTTCTAAATTAAATGTATAATTTAGAAATGTACAATACATGTCAAAGTGCTGGAATACAGTAAAAGAATTGGGGGGGGGGGGAGCGAGTACTTTAATGAAAGTTAAGATGTCTCCTGAGAGTGACTACTCTGTGGGAGTGCAAAAATTGCTTCTGTGAAGTTACCAGCACTGTATGAGCAGTGGAAATGACACATCAGTTTCATTTTTCCTTACTACTCCCAGTTCTCTCCAACAGCAACAGGCTTGACTCAACTCAAGATCCAGTCTCCTCTGGGGCCTATGACATGGTCTATTTCCAGTGGTAAAACGTAACAAAAGTACATTTACACAAGAACTGAACTTTTCTTAAGCATTTCCATCTAATGTAACTTTATGCTTTTACTCCATATCTCAGAGTCATATATTGTACCTTTTACTCCACTACACTTTTTTGCCAGCTTTAAGGCCCACGCACACTTTATTTTCTGTGTTCTGCTTCATCTCACAGTTGAGTGCACAAGCCTTTCAAAGTATACTCCTTTGGCTGTGAGTGAAAAAAGAAGCGTTCTGCGTATGCACACTATCCAGTGGACTTTGTTTTCAAGTGCTCAAGTCACTCGCACGTGCTGTTGTACACAAACCCTCCGCATGGACTCAAATATTGGGCTGTACACAAACGTTCGCGGACCCTCCTGATGATGAAAATTACGTCATGTGGACAGTGCACGGGCCGTCGTTAAACGCAACCAGCCGAAGTATACTTTGGGCTTTAGTTACTACAGTAGTTCATTTTCAGTGTGCAATTTTTCATACCACTTCTGTCCAGTGAAAACCACGCATCTCCAAATGTGATGATTTAATAAAATGAACGTTTATGATAAACTGAAAGATTAAGTGTTTCCTTTATGGTTTGGGAAAAATTCTCCTACTTAAACTAAACCAACTATTAAACCCAGAATGAGTGCCGACTGAAGGAACCACTTATCTACCCTCTCCCTGGATGTATTATGTAATAAAATGTGTTGTTAAGTGAATTGGTTGCCTTGTTTATTTTGCACCACCAAACTTCTTTCTTGGGTTGAATTGAGAAGTTGTTGACTTTTATTTGCTGTGTGTGCTTGTGTGTATTTCTTAATATAAAAATATAAATATGACCATAAAAGCATGAGAAAAATGTGAATGCATTCATACTGTAAATGTATTCTATATTATAAGAGCTTATATTATGGGAGTTATGGAAACAATCCACCTTCCCTCCAAAGTGAAACACAACTGATTAATGCTGGTTCTCCATTAACTCTCCATTAAGAAAAAATGCTAACATAAATGTAGTCAACGTAGTATATTATGCGTTGATATTTACAAAGATTGCTGCAAATAAACAAGCTGCTGCTATCTGTCCCGCACTAAAAGCACTGACCTCTCAAGTTTAACAAAGCTTAAACAAAGCAGACTCTCAAAAACAGCCCTAAAGAATAGAGCGAGCTGTGAGTAACTAACCTCTAGCTGCTGTTGTAGGCTGTAGACCTGAGCCTGGAGGGAGCTGTCTGATTGTGATGGTTCACAGGAGCCGACGGGTTCTGATATGTTGACCTGAGCCAACCTCTGTCCCTCATGCTTCACTGATGACTGAGATAGAGAACACATGTAATCAGATTTTTACAATTTGTTTAGGCCATTTGCTGATATTAGAGATATTTCATGCTCATTTCCCATATTTTTTATATTTTGATTACCTTCGCTGCCATCTAATGCTCACTTAAAGTTGATTTTTTTTTTAAACATTAACAATTTAATTACACTTATATAAATGTCATCTATGGCAAATCTCAAAATGAATAATTTTTTTATACTGTGTACATTATAAAGTTGTGATGCCTAAATGTAGGAATTGTAGCATTTAAAATGACTAATTTTTGTTTTTAGTTTTTATTTCTTAATTCATTTAGACACAAACGTATAGAATTTGAATATCAGCCATTTATGAATTCATTCGAATTTTAGTATAGGTGCATTCCAAAACATTTAAATAATATGCTTGTAAATGACAAAATGATACATTAAACGTTTATTAATAGAATCTGCATTGATATATGGATTTTGGGACAATCTCAATGCATTGATGATCTGTGAGAAAAAAAATGTATCATGAATATAATAAATATACAAGCAATAATTATTAACCTTGACAACTTGATCTGGTGATGTCCTCCCCTGGTCCTCAGTTGTGCTACTTTTGCTCTCTATTCCACTTGACTGCACGTTTTCCGCTGCAATTCTAGTGACTTCACATTCTGCTCTGTCACTCCCTGTAGAAGAGACTTGGTTATGCTGTACTTCACTTGCGCATGGCTGCCTGTGTTCTTCTGTCTGAACACCCTCCTCTTTTGTGTTTGAGATGCTCAAACTGGCCTGGTATTGTCTCTTCTCCATCTCTTCAAGGGCTAGTTTGAGTCGTTCCACCTCGTTCTCCTTTTCCTCCACTAAGACAACAGGAGCAAACTTGGACTTCAGAGCCTCCTGGATTGTGTCCAGCTCTGTCTTTTGCTCTTGAAGTTCTCTCAGCAGGCTCTGGTTCTCTTCCTGGGCGCACTGGTACTTCTGTAGAGCCTCGTCAGCTTTGGTTTCGGCATTTTGCAGTGCATTGTTCAGTGAGCTAGTTATGACTGTGTGCTCACCCTTGCTGATGTAGTTCTCCAGATCTACGGTTGGTTCGCTGGTCTCCGTGATGAGGTCGGTCGTGGTGCTCTTCGCATGTGTCGGGCACCATTCTGATGGGGTCTGAGCTTCTTTACACAACGTCTCAGCCTGCTGCGTCTCCATTCCTGCTAACCTCGTCCTCAGTGTGTTTATTTGCTCTTCTCTGCTGAGCAGCTCCTGGGAAAGCCGGCCAAGTTCCTGCATCAAGGAGCCCTGGTTCTGCTTCTGCTGCTCTACCTCCCTCCTGCTCTGGCTGAGCTCCTTCTGCATTCTCCCCAGTTCGGCTACGGCTGCCTCCCGCTGACCTTTGACTTCTTGAAGCTGGACTCTCAGCTCTTCCACCAAGTGCTCCCTGACGGCTACGAGATGAGCTTGCATCTGTCTCACTCGGGATTCTGAGCCGGCCATCCTTCTTTGCACCTCACCCAAGGCCTCCTCCAGCTCCCATGACCGGTTATGGGACGCATGCAGAGCTTGTTCGCTGCTCCTCCTCAGACCTTCGTATTCCTGACAACGCAGAGCCAGTTCCGTGTCCAGCCTGTGCACCTCCGCCTCTGCTACTTCTTGCCTCCTCCGTGCATCTCGTAGTTCTCTCCTAAGGGCCTCCACCTCGCCGGGCAATAACTCCATCGGAGTAGATCTCACTGGCACAGGAGCTGAATGTGCAGGCCTGACCTGAATAATTGACAAGGGTAATGTTGAACTAAGAAATACTCTTTCGTTTGTCTATTTTAGATCAACTGCTGTAATGTTTCAGTTTGATGAGAATGGGATATAAATCAAGTCTGATATCAAGTGAAGTTATAACCCTTAAATCTCTATATTCTGTCAGAAAAAAAGTGTTCACATTATACAAATTATATTACTTGGTTGACTGCATTATATATAATATAATAGTTAATGGAAAGTTTAATTTAACTGCCTGATAAAAGGACTATGAGCAAGATATCAAGGTCACATACATCATTTTTTTTAGCAAAACACTAAAATTGATTGATTTTGTGGTGAAGACCTTAATTTAAAATTTAATCTAAATGGCTGATAAAAGGACAAACAGTGAGCAAGATATCCAGATCACATACTTCAAAAATAAGGAGTTAACTAAACCTAAAAATACTTAATGACACTGTCATAAAGCAAACTCTTCAGACACAGATCAGGTTAGTCAGGTTAGGCAGGATACCTGTGTAGAATCCAGATTATGACCTTGTTTGGCACCTTTTCCTTCAGGAAGCAGAAAGTATGTTTAAAACATCAGAGCCCAGACCTGGAAAGCTTTTGTGATATGACTGATTGCAATCCTGATGTTCTGCCATTATATATAAACACATTCCAAGTTACCTTCAGTGGAGTGACTGCCATGTTCCTTCTGTAATTCAGACACAACCCTTTATTGATGACATTCACAACTGACCACAATCAGCTACAGCAAAGCAAAATGACTGCCTGATAGCACAGACTTCCATCCTCTAAAGAAACTCACTGTTAGTGGCTCTGACACAGCTTTCTCCGTCTTTACTGATCCTGCTTTGGTCCAGGGTTTAGCCTGTGCCTTCAGAAAGAAAAACAAAATTCTTTCAATTCTTATCAAAAATCTCTGATGACATGGTCTTTAGATAGAAAGAAATCTATATTTCCATAATAAATTCTCTAACAATTCTTTAATAATACATGCATCTCCCTACAGTAAATAATTAAACCATATCCTGAAGGCTGGATCTATAATAGATGTGTTAAAAGTAAGAAACTATAGATTTACACATGTATGGCTGAAATCTTCACATGAGCATGAGAATCAGTATTCATCTCCATCGACAGCTGCAGAAGAACATTGAATTCCATCCAACTGATTTCCATCATTGCAGAGATGGACATACATAGCACACCATCATCATTCTCAAGTGACTGCAGATTAGGATGGCTCTAATTAAAGTGCACTGCGATTAGCATTTAAGACTCTAGATGGCAGTAAGATCAATAAATAGATGGAGCAAACTCATGACCTGCTGTTACTGCCTTTCCTGTCTTGGATTACAAATATTTGAACTTGACTGTGAATCCGAATGAAAATGCGTCAAAGAGTTAAATTGTCAGCAAAAAGTCAATGTTACCTGTTGAATCTTCTGTGAAACATTGGCAGTCTCTTTGGCTGGAAACAAAAAGTGGGGGGGTTGTTATAACACATGATGTTTCTGTTCCTTTTGCACATTTCAGAAAAGCGTTTTAATATGCCATGAATGTGCACTGATTTACATGGCAATCACTTTATTAACTAATTGTTGCATTTAATTTTAATCTGGTGATATGGCAGATTTTACATGAAAAGCATCTTTCAGGGACCCAAGTGATCTTCTTATAATAAGAGGCTGGTTTGCTTGGAATAAGCCTCTCTCTTTAAATAAGACAGTTCTTGGAAAAGGAATACAGACCGGTCCACTCTAGAAATTGATGCTTTTAGAGTTAGTATCTGAGAAGTCTATGCGAGCACAGCTGGATCTGGATCTTTCAGACACTTCTCTTAAATTACATGACATTACCCAGTAATGACAGTGTGATGGCTGATATGGGATCTAAATTTAAAACTTGACTGACTTGCTGCCTGCATGAGCAGGTGCAGCAATTTCAACATGTAATGATAACAAGACTGTCACTTTGCACTGCCTTGCTGGATCAAAAAGGCACTGCTGGTCACAAGATTACATGGTGTTATATTACCTTTAGTGGTTGTTTCCAAGGCATGTTGTACAAGAGTGATCAAGTCTTGATTCTGACTTAGTTTGGCATAGTGGTAAGCGTCATGGCCATAAATGTCCACTGCAGAAACATCTGCCTTAGTCTTCAGGAGAATCTCCACCACTTCTTTACAGGAGTTCTCACAAGCTAATATTAGCGCAGTCCTAGACAGAACATAAAAAATAACAAGTCAGAAAAACAGAAGATAGAAACAAGTATTGATCAGTTGGTATGGCACAACTCAAGGTCAAACAAACTTTATGATTATTTCTGCAAAGCTTAAAAGGTATCTTTACTTGAATGAGCTTTTTCTAAGACTCATCAAAAGCAGTTCATGACTTATACTGAACTATATCATTAAATTATTTATTAAATAATTTTAATGCTTTTCAACATTTAATGAATCTCATGAGTTGAATTGACTTTGGCAGCCCTAAAAATGTTCACATATTGATTTAAATCTTTTGCTGCACTTTAAATAACAAATAAAGGTAGGCCTATATAGTGTTGCTTCACTAGTTCTGAGAATGAATGCAACATAAGTGTGCTATGCACTTCCGCATTGTTCCTATTGCTGCTTTCTGCAGTGTACACATGCAAATGTGTGCCACTTCAATGGAAAGAAAACAGGTGACTTCCTTGTAGAAGATGGATTTTCTTGCAAGTTGATTCACATTAGTAAACAAAATTAAACTGAATATAAATATATTTGAATTTAAAACGTAATCTTCCTCTTCTGGCTGATACTTTGCTTATAAATATTTGATTTTTGCAAACTCTTTGTGGATCATTATTAATGCACAAAAGAAAATAAGATAATTAAAATGCTTTCCCTTACTTGCTTTGCTTGTCTCGAAGAACAGTGCGTGCTCCATTTTGCACAAGCAACTGGCATGCTCTTGGTTGGCTCGTCTTAGCAGCAAGCAACAAAGGTGATCTACCATCCTGAAAAAGGGACATATTTACATGTATTGCAATCAATATAAAATGTTCTATCTCACTTTCTCACATCGCTTCTTATATATACACAGTGTGCAAAATTAATTGTTCTTTCAAAACCATTTTACTTACTGCATCAGTAGCATCAATAGATGCACCGCTGTCAAAGAGCATTTTGATGGCGGCTTTACAGCCTACATTTGCTGAAAAACAATAACATGACACAAGACGTTATACTTTTCCAATCAACTCTGACAGCTAGACATTATATCGGTCCTCGATGCATCCTCATGCAGCAGTTGAAGAATTCATAATGAAAGATCTGCCTGAAAAGAATGATGATAATAAATCTGACACACACACACCCAAAATGCATCTGAGCATGCAACACACAAAATTGTGGTATGTCCTCCATTAAGCTTAACAACAAGCAAGCTAGTCTGGTGTTGATGTAAAATAGTGTCGTGCAAGGTCGGAAATGTCAATAAAATAATAATAATAATAATAATAATGCCCCCAAAATTCAAGATATGAATTGCCTTGCATGAGTTCTTGTATTTTGAGATTATAACATAATAGTTCATCAATATTACACAAGCAAGAGTGCCATTTTCTCGCACATCAGCACGATTACAAATATGACATTCATTTTATACAGCAGTTCAATAAACAATAACCTGATTATATGAATTGACAATTTTTAGACACAATCTTGTACATTTTGACCGCTTTTGTAACAAATATAGTTCCAAACATAGCAGAAATGCAAGGTCTCCCAGCGACACAGAGCAAAGTTTCGTTCTTAAAGGGATAGTTCACCCAAAAATTACAATTCTGTCATAATTTACTCAGCCTCAAGTTTTTCCAAACCTGTATGATTTTCTTTCTTCTGTTGAACATGGAAAAAAGATTTTTTTAATTAAATTAAATTAAATTCTTTAAATTAAACATTGTTGTCGATTAGTCAGTGAAACAAAAGCAAATGTAGAATTATAAATTATGGGGGAAAAAAATTACTAACATTTTAAATGGAATATATATATTTTTTGGCGTTTTTGCCTTTTATTAGATAGGACAGTAGCTAGACAGGAAGTGAGGTGGGGGAGAGAGAGAGAGAGAGAGAGAGAGAGAGAGAGAGAGAGAGAGAGAGAGAGAGAGAGAGAGAGAGAGAGAGAGAGAGAGAGAGAGAGAGAGAGAGAGAGAGAGAGAGAGAGAGAGTGGGGACTGGATCGGGAAAGGTCCACGAGTCGGGACTCCAACACAGGTCGCCCGAAGCGCAACAGAGGCACATGTCGGCGCACTTGCCCACGAGGCTCAGACTTTACACATGGAATATTAATAAAATAAATATAATTTTAAAAAAGAAAAATCCACACACCTGCATCATGCAAAGCTGTACGGCCCTGCAGGTCTGCGCTGTCAACAGGACATTTACACTGTTGGAAAATAAAATATTTAACATACATATGGGCAATATACATTCTGAAAAAAAAATGAAATGTGTTTTCAAATCTTCAATGATTTATTTTACAACTTAAGTTCATTTACATATTCCTCTGCTCAACAAGCTAAGAAAACTGAACAAAAATAAAAAACATTGAACAGAATGTAAATTGCACAAATGCCTCTCAGCACACGCTCATCATAAATGCAAATATATATTTAGAATTTGGCTCAAACATAAGTTTATTTTTTTAATGCTTTAAATTGTTCATGGTTTATAATTATTTTGCTTTTGCACTACTTTAATGCAATTGACTGCCAATTGAAACTCATGTGCATTCGTCTCCTTCGTTTTCACTTGCATTTAATTATAGCTGCATTCACATCAAAGCTTTACGAAAGAAAATTCACATTCCCGCACCAGATAACACACCTCGCATTCTTAACGGTGCGTTTGTGAGCAAAAGAATGGTTGCTTTATAATACAAAAAACTGGAGTAAATTGCTCCAGTGGAGATCAAAAGCAAAGGAAAGTCCAGAAAAAAAAACTAAACAAGGGCTTTAAACATAAAACAGGGTATGAAAAAAAGAAAGCATTGAGCTGTCTTTGGCAGAGCAATAGCTAAAGGGGTTGGTTATACGTCAACACTGACATTCCAATGCGGTTTCTCATTAGTCTGTCTTCCTGTGATTGTTAGTGGACAGTACCTGCAGCAGCCTCTGCACACACATGGGATGACCGCCTGCGGCAGACAGATGCAAAGCGGTTTTACCTGCAGAGAGGAACAACATACATACAGTGAGGTTTAAAAGTCAGAAACTTTGTTTGCTTTAATGGCAGCAGCACTTGAGCTGCTTGAACTCCAGAAGTTTGAGTTCAAACTGATCATGTTCTTCATGATTCTGGTCATCTGTATGAAGGAATCTCATGATCAATTTCACAAATTTGCTTATTTAATTGTTCGTTTAGTGACTTACAAATAGCGCAGAATACTATTCATTTTACGTCTTCTTTGCTTCACATTTTTCAAAATCTTATCCTTTCTGTTTATTTCTTAGGTTAAGTAGATTTTGAATCCCAGTTTTTCAATGTGAGCTCAGAAATCATGTCAAAAATCATAATCATGATTATTTTGTCACTATTGACAATATTGAATGTTTTTTAACAAGATTATTTAACACAATTATGGCCAAAACCTAACATGAGTAATTTTTTTAACGATCGCGATATAGATCAAGTAGGCCTAAATATTTGTTGGAAATAAGATTGCTATGACATCTTAATTTTAGATACCAGTGAAATTTCTCAATTCTCGATTCCAATTTCGATACCACAGCAGAACACTATGGCTAACTAGTATTCACTAGTTCGCCTGCCGGTTCAGCCTTAAAGGTTAATAGTAAACTAACTTGGTTTGCTGTCCTTGCTCGGCTTGGGCTTCGAGTTACCGAGTTAGGACAAATAGGACAAATACAATAGAAAATCTCGTAATGTCTTGTTTTGCTAAATGAAGCTTGTCTTTAGGCTAATGCACGAACCACCGACCGCACAACATTTAAACAAAATGCATTGGTTGATTATCCACAGCAGGAGGGTCAGGTCTTCAGATAGAGGAATGAATTATGACTTAAATGGTTCATGAAATGTGATTACTTCAGAAAGTCTTACCGGCAGCATCTAAAGCCTTCAAGTTGACACCGTTCTCCAGGAAAACATTTAGGCTGTTTATGAGGCCTTTGCTAGCAGCAACATGAAACCTTAAAAAAAATAAAAAATACAAGTAAATGTATTAATTGTAAGCAATCAATAATATTGTTCATTAATTTCAATGTCAATAATTTTATTTTACAACATGAATAAAGTATATTTAATGCAGATATTTGCACAGGTTAATATATAGCCTATCATACTTCCATGGAGATCAAAATATGCTTTTACAACATATGTGAGTTTACCAGTGATTATGATTATGTATAAAGAGCCAAGAAACATAAAAAAAAAAAACATGCAACAACATAGCAGCCGAGGCCTGTTTCAACAGAAAATAGGCACAACCCCTCCTTGAGCCTATAGTCACAAAGCAGGCATGATACATCTGAGGTAATTAGATCACCAGGACTGTTGAAGCTTGTACGTTGAAATAGTTAGAGGACAAAAGAAAGATCAACAAGATGTAGGATGTGGGTATAAACATGTTTTGTAGCAGAAAATAAAGGGAGAAAAAAAATCTTTTTAACATCTATTTGAAAAAGGAATTAAAGTAAAATGCACAGGAGCTAAATATAAAAGAAAATTATGACATTTCTTTATTCCATCATGTTTACTGACAAGGTTAAGGCAAGGAAATACATATTCTATTTGACAGAAAAACATTGGAAGGTAGGAAATATTTAACAACAACAGAACACGACTAAAATCCTGGCATGAGGCCCGACACACCTAATACAACCACCTTTAAAAACAGCTGACCGGAAGAGATAAAAGAAGAAACATAGGAAAATTATAGGCTACATAACACTGCACACCATATTTAATACCCTCCCATAAACATATTACCAGAGCACTGCTGTGCCACACATTTATGATTTAGTTAAACACCTTTGATGCGTTTATGATAAGCTTTATGATGACATTTACTCTCTGGAACAACTTCTATGCTTCTCATGTTCCTGTTTCGGAACTTCTTTCATGCCTTATTTACAGTTGTGGTCAGAATTATTGGCACTCCTGGTAAATATGATTGAAGATGGCTGTAAACATAAATCTGCATTGTTCATCCTTTTGATCTTTCATAAAAAAAAAAAAAAAAAAAGCAAAACAAGTTGGCCAGAATTATTGACACCCCTAGAATTTTAGTACTGAAGTATATTCCCATTAATATTTACATATTTAGCACACCAGGGTGACTAGGAACATGAAATTGTCAAGCTATGACTTCTTGTTTCACAGGAATATAAATATGAGTAAACACAAAGGCCAAATTCAGTTGTCAGACACGACTGGAACTTCAAAAGGGTCCTGGTTCTATGGTCAGATGAAACTAAACAAGTGCTTTTTGGCAGCAAACCTACCAGATGGGTTTGGTGCAAACAGGGATAAAAAGTGCCCCATGCCCACAGTTAAATATACTGCTGGATCTTTAATGCTGTGGGCCTAATTTCCTGCCAGAGGACATCTTGTTCAGATACATGGCATCCTGGATTCTAGCAAATACCAACAGATAAATCAAAACCTGACGGCCTCTGCTAGAAATCTTATAATGGACCGTGGTTGGATCTTCCATCAGTACAACGATCCAAAACAAACATCAGAATCAACACAAAAACCCTATAGACAATGAGTGGGCTGAACTGAAGAGAAGAAGCACCAACATGGATCTGGGAATCTGAAGGATCTGGAGAGATTCTGTATAAAGGAATGATCTCTGATCTCTTGTCAGATGTTCTCCAAACTCATCGGGCATTATAGGAGAAAACTCAGAGCTTTAAAATGAGTTTTTGTGTACCTATTGTGTACCTTTAAACTGCTTAATCAGAAAGTATACTAATCATCTTGGAGGTTCACGTTTCAACATTTATTTCTGTGCTTAGTTTTTCCTTGTTTACACATACCAGTATTTATCATGAGAAGTGTGATGCAGGTCCATGGAAGAAATATCTTATTACAGATTGTGGAAGCAGTACTATAGCTCTGTCAATTATGCAATAAATGAATACAAAACCCTCCACAAAGCAAACAGGGCATTCGAGGTAGCTTATCCTTGAGGGTAAAATATAAGAAGAGTAATCCAATGCTGAAGAAAGATTTAAATAGCATTAAGGGTGAAATTGCCTCAAAATTGGTTTAGCAGTAAAAACTTAGTGTGAATGTGCCAGTCATCATCCAGGCAATTCTAACACAGAAGAAGAAAAACACTACAAAAGTGCTTCAGTGCTTCAGACTTTTCATTCAGAAGCTGCTACTGGAAATAAATTCAACAATCAATGCATTGTGCACTGCAGAGGAGGATGAGGGCAGAAAAAAATTGGGCTATCAAAATTTCTTCCCTCCTCCCCTGGCTGGACATTCGCACTTTTATTAAAAAGCTATTTTGTGGCAAGAGACAAGTGATGAAATGCATACAGAAGTAAACACAGGAGTCCCAGCAGGGAGGATAGAGAACTGTTTTTGAGATTTACGTCCAATCAAAGAGCGCAAGACCACTTGATCCCAGAGCCTTTCATAGAGGGGTTCAGCTTCCACTTTAAAACATAATGCGGGAATGAGCTCAGTAGTGCACAGAACCATAGAGGACAGCAACTTACTGTAAAATGAGTTGTCTTTGTAAAAATGTTGTGTCAGTCAGTTGTTGCTTTTTTTGCATAAACATAGAATAAAATATAGAGTATACTTAGGTGGAGAATTATTCTCAGTAAAATTCAAGTAAATACAATTTTTAAAAAAAACCTGCTATTTGTACATTGGACACTATTTTATTTAGCATCACAGAAGCATCATGTTAAAAGTGGCACTTACGCAGAATGGCCCTCTGAGTCTAGTTTGGTGGGGTTGGCTCCTTTCTTGAGTGTGGCTGTGAGTTTCTCTATATCTCCATTCTCTGCCGCCTTCATGAGACGCTCATCATACTTTCCCCATTCTGTACTCTGAGAGAGAGGCAAAAATAAGACATCGGAAAAAGCAATAATCATACCATCAATTTCACAACCTACTCTCTTACGGCTCTACAGAGCCATCACTGAAACTGCCATCACTTTTACCATTGTCTGGTTTGGCTCTGCTACTGAACACTTTCTTTTTGAAAATCCTAAAACTTTCTTTATTTCCATTTCTAAAAGAAACAAATCATATTTTAATGTGAAACCTTCACTATAGTTCAGTATAGCACTAGCAATTGCCATTAAACCCTTATTTTATCAAGCAAAGTTAATTAAGGCGATGTATTATATATTTCCTCCTGAAATAACAGAGTTGCTATGCAAAAAAAACTAAAATAATGACTCTGCTATTATGAACAGTGATATAGTGAACATTGTGAAATACAACCGGCTGTAATAAAGTGTATGAAACAATCAGCATCCAGGACTAGAACCATCCTTTTTATAATGTAATTTATGGCGAGGTGATGCTGAATTCTTGATTTTGATGGCCTCACAGACGTTCTAAACTATCGATTATTTTTCAATAACAGCACTGTGGTTCCAGGTCTGTTGACCGCATTACAATTGCATTTCCCCAAGTTATTTCAAATAGTCTTACAGTCTATCACAGGAAAGGAACCAGAAAAATAAAAAAATTGGTCAAGCAACTAGGATTAAATTACAAAGAATATCTGTGAAATGTTGTACAGTTGTTTAAATTTGCAACAATACAATAAACAATCTCTGCTTGTCTCAATCGCTCAAGCGCAAAGTAGGCGTAGCCTAAAAGTGTCAACCACGGTGAAATCCAGCGATAAAATCTTAGATACAATTGCGAGACAGACGCATGGTTCTTATCACTTTAGCCATAAACAACAATTCATTCCTGGAGTTCAGCAAAACAATATGCAACTTACAACCACGCCGACTGACCACCCACAGTCCCAATTCTATCACACACACACACGCGCGCGCACACACACACTCAGTTTCAGGACATGTTATGGGCTTGGTCCAAAGTCTTGACAAGCTATTCGAAAGAGTAAAATGTGTATCTAGTCAATAATGTTTACCTCGTTTTTCTTAAGTCGTTGTTTAAAACTTTTCATAGTTCCAGTATAACAGTAACTAAGCCCAGTGCACTTGTCCAGGTGTCCAAATGTGCGTCTCTTGTCAAAGTTTGCCTGTAAACTTTATTCCACCCCTTGGTTACAAGGTTCAGGCTCCATTGAGACCTGACGCACTCCCATGAACCAATCGTCAGGAAAAATGTGTAACAATGAGCCAATCGGCGTGGACAGGGAGTCTCCGTATGAAAGTCAGCCGTGGAAAAGCTGGTTCACATGATTTGGTGGGCTGCAGATTCCACACACTGTAGATGCCTTCAAAAGAAGCTCGACAATGAGTGTTTGTTTTGGATACAGCTTCGAGTAATATTGTCAGCAGGCTTGTCCTGTTTGTAAACTTGTAAACACAGTTGCGTCATCAGTGGCTGGTTAGAAATATGCGTATTTGATTATTAAAGATACACCTTTTGTAGAAACTGGATTGATGTTCATGTAGCCTAGCTTATTTAGATGGCAAATTTTATTATTTTACATGTTTATGAGATTATTCATATCATTATGTGCAATGTTATCAGACAATTATCTGGGTCAAAGAAGTTTGGCAAAGCAGAAAATGACAAAAATAGCCACATTTTAGTAGCCTTAACACAGCTCAAAGGGCCTTTGGCTATAGTAGCAATTCTCAACAATATTGTCTTTAAAATCCTGTTGTACCATGTTTTGTACCAGTTCAAGCGTTAAGTGAAAATATAAATTGGTAACACTTTATTTTAAGGTGCTTGTAATAAGCAGTAATTAACAGTTAATAAGACACTTATAAGACCTTATAAGATGCATATAAGATGCATATAAGCATTAACTAATAATAATAAATAAATTAAATAAAATAATAAATTTCGCAAGTATCAATACATTGCACTTTTAGAACAGCCGAACAAACATAAATGGTAACACAAACTCCCAGTCCCTTAAAAATTGACCTTCCCAAGAGGGAGTAATTTCCCTGATCTCTTCAGGGCCTGGACCTTTAATTAACCCTTATATGAAGTAGTTAATGTTCATATGCATCTTATAAGGTCTTATAAGTGTCTTATTAACTGTTAGTTACTGCTTATTACAAGCACCTTAAAATAAAGTGTTACCTATAAATTATCTTTGTATAGCGCCACCTAGTGTCTGAAGGAAGTGTGTCTACGTACGTTTGATTTGCAGTTGGTCTTTGATTTACGGTCTCTGAAGCATAAAGAGTTTTAGGGCAGAAAAATAATGATGACCTTAAGCGTTTTACAGCTTCTTTACTAAAGAGCCACTCGAGCGTAATGTGAATCACATCCTCTTTGTGGTATCATGTCACAGCCCTCTAAATATAAACAAAAGGAGTCTCATTTCTTTGTATAGTACAAAAAAAAAAAACTGAACAATAATAATGATGCTGATACTACTTCTGATATAATAAAAAAAGGCATCAAACAGGGTTGTTCTTTCCTGAGGGACCAAGTCTGCCATTTTATGATGTTTGAATGGCTCTAGCTCAAGTCTGGGAACTCGCCAAATCCAGTAGACAAACCAGTTTCAAACATGAGCTTCTTGAAAGACCTCATTCATTCTGCCTTTAAAATATGTAACAGCAGCCTCCCAAATAGAGTGTATTCATGGCCGTGTGCCAAAAGTATATAAAAAAAGCAGTTATACAAGTGTTTTAACTGTCATTGCTGCAATTTGTTACATGAAGCTGAGCTACACTTTAGACAGTGGTGATGTGTGGTTTCTAAACCTTTGCAGTCTGCTGAAAAATGTCATACAATCCAACTGTACAGTCAACATGCTCTTTAAATTTCACAGTATATTTAAGACCACACACTCAAATTACAACTGCAAATCCCCTAAATCTACATTATCTTGAAGCAAGCAATGTAGAAAAAATAGAGACTTGAACTTTGCTATTTTAATCAAACTATACATTTTCAAATTTGACCCAGGCCAACAGCATCTGCTTTCACATGGCCACATACCATTGAATTTCTATTACATAACCTTTACTGTTCTTAACATCAATATATGATTCCGCTTTAAAGATATTTAACTCTTCTATGAAAATTGGCAAGAGTTTATCTGAAGTTGGAACAATGAGACTGAGCCACAGCTGGGAAGGGCAATTTATTGACTGACATGTTTTTCAAAAAAAAAAAAAAAAAAATTTAAAACAAATAATGCAGCATTTCAACTATACATGACCAGGTTCTGTTTATCAATATTACAAAAACCAAAATATGGATCAATAAAATTAGAGCAATTACCAGCAGCTTTTTAAAGAAATTTAATTTAATTCCTTATCTGGAATACCAGACATTATCCTTAGAGTCCTGAACCAATATCGACTGATGTTGTGAGCACTAAAATCTTCCACAAGACTGATGAATGGATTTTAAATAATAAAAATAAAATGATGATCAGAACGTAGCACCAAACATCCTCGCTGGCTTTGCCCTCAGACAGCTTTGCGATGATATTCCGGAGGTGCAACCTCATAATCACTTGCACAGAACAGACATGACGAATTCTTCACCAAATACCTAAAGCAAGCACAAAATGTTTCACATTTCAGTAAGTTACTGCCTGCAAGTAAAAAAAATATATTAAAACCAATTTCTACTTACTTTAAAAAATCTTGCAGGTAGCTGAGAAGCAGGGCTAGACTCTTCTCATCCAGAGGTGTGTAGGCCAGCATTGCTCCAATTCTCACTGTCAAAGGACACACAAGAGGCCATATCAACAAATGCTACAATTAAACGTTAACAAAAACCCAAAATACTGGGAAGAATGTCATTACCAATAATGTAATGAAAACATTCTCTGTGATATGGCTCTTTTCAGAACTCAATTACATGTTCTTTGCTGTATTTCCATGATTACATTAAGCTTTGAGGATGAATTTATGAGGATGGCCATGGATTATTAAAAGTTTGTAGCATTCAAAGCTCATATTCAAGTTTAATTTGCTTTTATAATGGTACAATTAGGTTTCAAAACACAATTAGCATTTAAAGTTGGCATGAAATGACCAATCTTCCCTATTGTGACCTACAGTTTATCCAAGTGAAACAGCTTCCCGACCAAGAAAAATGTAGGGTGGGACTTGATTTTGTCCACTGGTAATTGATTGGATGGGTGTGGTTTGCTATTGCTATGATCTCATGTGAGTGACAGGTTGTCCCGCCCTCATGACATCATCAGAGAAGAGATGTTGTGGCAAGAGGAAGTTATTTTGATTAAAGATTACGAGGGCACATGACAAAACAAAATGAATATATACTAAAATTTTCCATTAAAAAAAAAGAAGAATTGTCCATTTTGATTTCATGGTGACTAAGTTCATACCAAAAAGCCTCAGCAGGTGCGGCGCCCCGTAAATCTGAGACATGGACGTATCTGGATGGTTTGCTAGGATCTCTGCATACTGCGGCCTCTCAAACTTGTAGAGGAGCTGAGTGCCCAACATGACATTGAAGTACTCACGGATTCCAGCAACCACCTCATTCACAGCAAATTCCCTGAGTAAAGATCAAGTGTGTATGAGTATCTCTTCAGAATCTCTCTCTACATCCTGTTGTTTATGAATTTTTATAAACAGGGTGAATTCAATTAACTGGATGATTTGCACAACAAATTAATATTACAACAGTGATTTCACCAAAATGGATAAGTTGTTATACTTGTTATCACAGTTTCCTCTTGATTTCTTGTAATTCGCATAGTCCTCCAGGACAGCATCCACATTCTTTTTTGCAGGCAAGTGAAAAAGCTAAAAAAAAAAAAAAAAAAAAAAATATATATATTTTCACAGTGCATATTATCTTTCAAAACTCAAATTTTATGACAAATTTGAGCAGATATCAAGGCAAAATCCAGCAAATGTGCCGTTGGTAAAACTTCAAATACCTAACTATATTTTTCCTCTTCTTTGTTTTAGTTGCTGCTCTAGACAGCATTCTGTAGTTTAAAGGTGCAGCAAGTGATTTCTGAGAAACGCTGTTGAAAGTGGATCGGACCGAGCACCACAACACACTTGTAGCCAATCAGCAGTAGGGGGCGTGTCAACACATGATGGGGGAGGAGAGAGAGTGAGCAGGATAGAGAGTTGAAGAAAGACTGTGGAAAGATAAATGGCTGAAATACATTACAAAAGAGAAAAGTTCAGAGGAATATCACTGTGAAAAGAAGGGTCAGGATCAGGCAAGAGCTTTAGGAGTCACATTAATATTAGAAAAGCTTTCCAGTGCTATAGACCCAAGCGGGAAGGCCTGAAAATGGTTGTGTTTCTGCTCCATATATGTTTTGCTACATTTCACAGAACCAAGATATGCTGCTGTTGTAGTAATGTTAGCAATCGCAAACAGTGTCATTGTTTGTTTGGAGCTGGTGTGCTGCCGGCAACTAACAACTAACTCTTTCTTGTATATATTTAATTTTAATGCTCTGTGATGACGCTTTAAGCTTGACGGCAACTAGTCACTCATCACGGCCAATAGAGGGCGCAACAAGATAAGACATCTTTTAAGTCCACTTTTACGCTTTGTTTCCAACAGTAAAAATGACAAATAAATGCATAGTACAAGAGCGCTCCACAAGATATGCTTGATTATACCATCTGGATGCTCAACTGCTCATCTGGATGGAGGTTCAGGCTTATTTGTTCATTGATAAGGTCATCAGCGACTAGTCGATGCCAACTCGACTTTAATCACAAATGTCGACTTTAAAAAAATCTCGTTCTAAAAAAAGTCGTTCAACCCATATTGTGTACTGAATGTTCATTTTTTGCTCTTCCTCGTCGCTCGTTCGCCATCTTCACATTATTATTTTTCGCTTCAGCCATGATAAAGAAACATCCACTCTTACATTGCGTGTCTGTTCGTGCAGGGGTTTGTTAGGGCTGATTTCAACAGTGTTTCTCATAAATTGCTTACTGCACCTATAATCATTATGCAATGCACCTGAATGATTGAAGAGCACTGCAGGAGGATTAGGATGAGCATGGGATGACATTTGTAGTTACCTGCTTCTGTCTAGTGATCAGGTCCCAGTCATCTACCAGCCACGGTTTTAACTCTTCAGGAATTTTTACCTTTACTTCTACTCTGTTAATGAAAGTCTCCTCCTGCACACAAAACCAGTTTGGGTGTCAAAAACAGCCTTACTCTTTACTTATGTAAAAACACCCGTTCAAAGAGCCTCTTAACATTGGCCTATTTGTTTTAAACAGACTTTGAACTGACATACACTCTCCACAGTTGGGTCAACACGTGCCCTCTTCTTGCGTGGGGGGTGAGG